CCTGCGCTCCCTCAGTAGCTGGGTGAGCCTGTGCAGGGAGCAGGGAGCGGGCAGATAGAGAGACTGCGGGCTCACGTAGGCACAGTCACCCCTCAGGCCCAGACATGCACGGCCGACAGGTCCTTCAGAGGGCACGGAAGTGGGCCAACTGGTTTGAAGAGCACAAGACCATCTTTTGCCTGCCCAGCACCCTAGTTTGAAGGAAATAAGATTTTTGTAAAAAAAAAATTAAATACAAGACTCGGGGGGAAAAAAATATCCTGTTTTGGGGGGTACCCCCTCATATGTCAAGAAAAACACAAACATGCCACGGGGTGGGGGCTGGGGTGTTGTCCGAGAAGTTCACAAATATAATCATCAAAGCAACTTCAAACCCCTTGCAACAAAAACCACAGATGGAGCAGAGAAATAAGAGAGAGATATTCATGTGTCAAATACTGTTTCCATCAACTTGCTGCCATTGAGCCAATTCTGACTCATGGGGACCCTGCAGGGCACGGTAGAATTGCCCTGTGGGTTTCCCGGGCTGTAGCTCTTTAAGGGAGGTGGAAGTCCACTCTTTCTCCCTCAGAGCTGCTGGTGGTTTTGAAAGGTAGAAAGATTAGGGATAAACGGGGTTGTCTCCACCAAATGCCGATGCTAAACAAAAATTAGTTGTCCATGCCACAATAAAGGGTTGCAAAGAAATCAGGCACACATTAGACACCTCTGGGGACAATCCAAAGCTGAGTAGGCTCAGACGCAGGTCACCTAGGCCCAGGTGGAGACACCTACATTAGGCACCGGCAACATTACATCCTATAGGTGCACCTGAACTCAGCCACTAAGATTGGCCAATACCCTCAATCATGCCCCACCAACCAGTGAAGATAGGAGGGGATAAATAGATCGAGGGCAAGCCACGCCCCTCTCAGGTGCTCTATTGCAGAACAGAGAGTGGGATTTCTCCCATGTGTGTGGCCTTGCACAATTTCCAGAGACAGCGTGTACCTTCAGAGACTGAAATGCCTGAAACTTCCCTTTCCCTCAGAAAAGTTAGTTGGATTTACAAAAGTGTTTCTGCCGCATGAATTCTTTCAGTGTTGAGAAGCAAGAGCCAAGGTCAACCACCCCAGACACTGAGCCATTTCAAATTACTGACCTCGAAGTTTGCAGCCAAGTGTGTACCCACTACCCCACCAGAGGCAAAGTTAACGATCCAACGTAAAGAATTTGAGGAGTACTGAAAATTAATCTTGACATGAAACGTAGGCATTTCTTTTTTATATTTATAATGATCTCAGGCCACTTTGTAAGACTTCCTGCCAGGGGAAAATATTGATACTTGTATGATATCTATTACATCTTAGTTGCATGTCTCCTGAGTGTGAGCTTCATGTAATCAGGTTTCAGTGCCTGGTCATTATAGGGGCTGGGTACAATGAAGACACGGTGCTAATGGGACCCTTCAGTTGTTCAACAGATATGACGAAGAAGCTGTTCTGGGATATCGCTTTCCCAGGCACTAGTGTTCTACAATTAAGTAAGATAAAATTTCTGTCTGCTAATAGTTCAGTCTCGTGGAGCCGAATAACTTCTGTTCTTCAGCGATGTTAGGCAAACAGCAGGAGAGGTTGCTTAAAGTCTCAGAAAGATCAGATGGGGGGAGTGGGTCAAAAGAAAAGTAAGAAAGATCAGATGATGCTACACAAGGGGAAAGGTTCAAACAATATTTTAAGTAGAAACTTTCCAGGTAGAAGACGAGCAGGGAAGTGTAATCCAGCACAGACAGAAAAATGAGCTGTCATATAGATATAAGAAGGCTCTGGGAGCTGAAAGTATAACGATTGATGTTACCTGGACATAAAATGGCCCACAGCATTATTTTGAAAACATCCCTAATCATGTCAGGCACAGAAAGGCCATCTGTATTATTAACTGTACTTAGATGAGCCCTGGTGGTGTTGGGGTTCCGCGTTGGGCTGCGCAAAGCGGCAGTTTGAACCCACCAGCAGCTCCGTTGGAGAAAGACGAGGCTTTCTGCTCTGTGAGCAGTTTGTCTCGGGAACCCGCAGAGGGCGCTGTGAGGCCGCGAGCTTGGTTTCTTTGGTTCCCAGGGATTGGGAAACCCAGATCTAGCTTTTTTTTTTTTTTTTAATGGCAGCTAGAAAGGACCTTTGACCCCAACCATGATTTTTGTCTCCACTCTGTCAAGGCCATCAGGGTAAGGAGATGAACAGAGACTTGAAAGTAGCTCCTCCCCACCCACCTCTACTACAACCTACCTGGTCTAGCTCTTATCATAGACTGTCAAGTCTATACATGCAGGGGTTTTTGTGGGAAATTCCCACATTCTGAGAAACAGGTAGCCTACTTTTAGAATACATAAATAATTCTAGCGCAAGGGAAAACAATTTACTAGCATCTATCCTGCGAGGCCCTATCATGTGAAAACCTGTAACAGGTTTATATTAAATCAATGGAAGCGCTGTAAGCCTGCTTGAAAGGACCACGTTACAGTAACATGGGCCAGTGAGAGAACGGCGGGGGCGGCAGCCGGAGGAGACCGGGGCAGCGGGTCAGTTTTCGTCCTCACAATCTGCATTGTAATGACAACAGAATTCACTCTGTCCTCTGAAAGTGACATGCCATCTCAGGTGCGCTGGAGTCCATCAGAACGCCACACCAAAATGGCCTTTCACAGGTTGGGTGTGAAGCATCACCCTGCAAAAACCAGAGTCCCGGGAGCTGAAGCAACAGCCAGAGATGGTAGCAGCCAAGGAAACCCTGGCAGTGCTCATGGAACCAAGAGCAAGTGCTTTTACTAATGGTAACGGTCAGAGAAGCTGAGGTCCTTTCGGGCAATCATCTAACTTCAACGCTGATGCCTTATTTAAAGACTTTGGATGTTTGGGCCAAAACCAAGACACTTGGTCCAAGAAGCACTTCCATTCGCGCCCGGAAGGTTCCAGTAGACAAAGACATCATTTCCAGTTGTCTTGTGGAGGTGGACTCTTTGATGCCATGTTTGAAGTTATGGAGAACATGTGTTCTTTTAGTGACTTTGACACCAAAGGTCCGCATACCTTACAGACTGAAAGCAGATTCCATGGGTCCAAAAAGCACTGCAGAACTGTCACTCAGCAGAGAAAATAGGATTACTACATACGCCGACTGTCCTAGACAGTTTAGGCTTTTCCTGCCCAATTGGTTGACTCTTCCTCAGTATCTTTGATGGAAAGCAATTTTGTGTGTGTGAACTCTTTTGACAAGTGCATGATCTTACTTACTTTGAAAAACAATATAGTCATTATCTACGTTTGTTGTTCATTTCAACATTCAGCTAGATAGAGAAATAGCTAAGATTAGTGAACGTTCTTTTAAAAGAAAAAGGTATATATAGACTTGCCTGGCTTTTTTTTTTCTAATCTCTTTGCCTTTAGCCTTATTAATGTGGCCCATTTTACTACCAAAAAAAAGACTGAGTTTTCCTGAGTCAGACTAAACTTTGAAAACTTGCAGATCTCAGTTGTGTAAACTTGAATGATTGCGGCGGTGAAGCCTTTCCCAGCTCTCTGCCTTGGGTCCCTCAATGTCCTTGGGACCATGGAACTGAGTCACTCAGCAAAGGGGGGCAGGGCCTTCATTCATTTCCACCAGGCGACTTAGAAATCTGTTAAATTTCCAGAGAATCTAAGACAATTTTTTCTCTTTTCCCGGGCATGTTTCCTAATTTAGAGAACCTGCTGTGTGGTTTGATATTTACACCCAGGACTCTGTCCCTCCACAGTGGAAGCCGGTAGAGGAAAGGAAAACCTGTCATCGTTTAGGTTGAAAGTGAGTTGAAAACTTGCGATCTTGCCAAGAGATTGTTACATGTTTGCCTGCCAGCGAATGGCTTTGTAGTGTTGAAATCAGAGCCACTCTACACATCTGTGCAGTCTTCTTTCTCAGCTGTGGAGCCTCCAGGCTTTCATTTGGATGTACGTCTTTTGTGTGCTTCCTCCTCTCTGCACTCATCAGCTATTCTAGAGACTGACTGAAACAGCCAGTAGTTTCTGTTCAAGCTTATGTGCAGTATTCTTAAATCCTAAGCAACGCATGGTTTTGTTTTCAGATCTCGACTTCCTTCTTTAAGGTCTGCACTTCCCCTTGTTACGGACTCCCTGAGTATCAATCCTATGGCTATATCAAAACCAGCGAATGTCTCATGCAACATTGTGAGCGAAAAAACATTTACAACTCCCCCCCCAAAGATAGGTAAGACATGTGCATATGTAAGATGCTTCCGGAAAGATACGCAAAGTTCTTCAAACAGCCCATGGCTCAAGACTACTGCCTAGAGATAATAAAACCTATTCTAATTAATTCTCTGTATAGAATGTTATCGCCTCAAAAATTTAATTTACGTCATAACCGTAGACCACCCTGATGTGCTTTGAAGCAGCTGAAGGTGCCGAGAGAGGGAAGATGAAAGCTTCAAGTCTCCGGACAGCTCTGGTTGCTTTTCAGGTGGCCATACCATTCCCTCACGTTCTCCCGCTTCTGACCGGCACTTTGCAATCTGCATGCACACCATTAAGACATTGCCTGAAGTACACAGAGACAAACCATTTTAGATCCAAATGCCTACTTTATTTCCAGTAGCCAGTGGTTATCCATCAAACAAAGAGGCGGCGGCAAACGTCACAGACAGAAACAAACCTGCGGAGTGGTCTATAAGTTAAGTGCAGCACAGATGGCATACCTCAGTGTGGCACTCACCACTGCATACCAGGCTGCAAGACACCGGCCAAAGGGGAGGGGGAAACAGCTTCGCAACATTGTACATCATTCTGTAGTTTCCGTTGTTTTTCGTAATTGTACGCACACGTTCTCCCGATGACAGTAACAGCTGCAAAGATCAGCTGCCGCGGAAGAGCAGTGACCTGCAAGGCTCCGTTCTATTGGTACTTTCTAGTCTTCGGTCGACTGGCTCCCACCGGGGGTACGACTCAGCGAGGCGGTGCCTTGAACTTCCTCAGCTTGACAAGAAAAGCTGGTTAAGAAGGGAAGATGCAAGGCCATTAGAATAATTAGAAGAAAAACACCATTTCATGATGCTCAAAATCCTTAAAGTTGACGATGGTGAGGATTGTACGACTTTTTAATACGATAAACTATTAGCTTGTATGCTATGTCAATTACCTACCAATAAAACTGTTAAAAAAAGTACTGGGGGAGGAGGGGAGAAGGAGGAACCGAGCACAGTAACGGACGCCTTAAGCTGCATGTCCCCCCCTCCAGGGGACACACAACAAAGACATGGGAGGAGACAGTGGTCACTGTAAGATACAAAAACGATCATTTATAATTTATCAAGGGTCCCAAGGGAGGGAGGGGGCCAGGGAGAGAAAAAAGAGGAGCTGATACCGAGGGCTCAAATAGAAAGTAAATGTTTAGAAAATGATGATGGCAACATATGTACAAATCTGGTTGATAAAATTGATGCATGGAATGTTTTAAGAGCTATAACCGCCCCCAATAAAATTAAAAAAAAAAAAATTTACTCACCGGTGTGACCAGCTTGCCAGTGTATAGGTCTAGCAATATAAGGAAATGATCCATACGGGAAATCAGAATGTGGTTCGTCTGGTGTAAAACAAAATATAAATTAAAAGCTACACATAATTTTTATAATTTAGTCACAAAAGCTATGCAAATTACTGCCTCTACTGTAACTTTTCCTCCCATTTCCCCCCAGCATTTGTTTTGGTGCTACTCTGCTATGTGACATGAACATTTGTTAATGCAACATGATGAAATTATACATAGATAACATCAAAGGAACATATGCATATCATTCAATGGGTATTTGAAAACTTATTCAAGAACTAAATAAGGTACATATACAACAAGGACTTAAATTTTGATCTTTAAAGAATTCTAGCAGTATCTTAGGTTGTTTTGTTTTGGGGGGGCACGGGGGTACAGGGGGAATATTAGCTGCTTGCAGATTCAAAAAAGCTGAGCCGAACTCATTGCTTTTGAGTTGATGCCAACTCATAGCGACCCTATAGAATAGGGTAGGACACCCCACCCCTGTGAGTTTCTGAGACTCTAACTCTTTATAGGAGTAGAAAGCCTCATCTTTCTCCCACAGAGCGGCTGGTGGTTTTGAACTGCTGCCTTGAGGTGAGCAGCCCGATGTGTAACCACTATGCCATCACGAATCCTGTTTGTGTATTAGGGTCCTTCCTATAGTGATAACCACTATTCTAAATTAAAATACTTCTTAGAATAAAGTGTTTCACAATCAATGTTCTTCCTTAGAGACAAGTAAAAATATTATAGGAAGCTTAGTTCTTCAAAAATATCAGAATTTATGTAAAAGATAGGAAAAATCATTATTTTGCCTCTAGAGATTTTAATGTAACAGAATAAATACTACATTTCCATTCCTATAAGAGAAATAAATGCCTAAGAATCTTTTTTTAAATGCATTGGGTCAATATGCCCATTCTTTTTTTTTTAACTGCAAACACACAGACAACATAAAATTGAAGCTTACCATCCTCCTCCTCTTGAAACATCTCACTTTCAACTCCAAGTTTCTTTTGAGAATGTAATGGGAATGGTGTGTTGATTTGAGGGTCTACTTTCTGAGATAAATTTCCATTTTTCTGCTTGGAAAGACAAACCAACCAGTCTCTGACAATGACTTCGCTGATTTTTTCACAAGAGAGAGCAAGTTCACAGTTGTGAATTCCATCTAAAAGTTCAATAATCTGTGTGATGCTTTCAGAAAAGGGGGGGGAAAAAAGACACTGAAATTTCGACTGAAAGTTCATTATGCCTCTTACCCAAATGCAATGCTATCGTTACATCAGAGGTGGGCAGAGTAGCAATGAAAGCTCCTATATTTCACAGAATCCCGAGGACCCTAATTTAACATGGCTGCTCACATTAGACTTTAAACTTTCCCTGCAAATTATAAGAAGTGCCAGTCATTTTATACCATCGTTTCCGCTAAGGAGGAGTTGAACAGCAGGGGACTGAATGCAGAAGGTCTGGGGGTACGGTGGTTAGGCGCTCAGCTGCTAACCACGTCAGCTGTCCTCGAGCATGGGGGGAGGGGGGGGTCCTCAGGAGGAAGAGGTGTCAGAGGATTTCCTGAAGATTTCAGCTGTGGAATCCTGTGGGGCAGGCAGTGGGTTGGGTTCTGTCCTGCTGGGTTCTGATGAGTCGGAATCAACTTGACAGCACTGGGTTTGGATAACTGAACTTGTGGGATGTGTCATTTTGTAACACTTTTACTATGACGGATATATAGTTGCAACATGGAAATTGTAGTCTAGCACTTACAGGAAATAAAAGTGGGTCTAAAAATCACAATAGGAAGTAAAATATAGTACTCACTTTGCTAGGTAGACAGCACAGACACCACCCTGTTTAAGATTTGGGTATAAAGCTGGTAAAGCAACTTGAGGATTCAACATATCCAGAGCCACCTGTGGGAGCATAAAAAAGGACCAAAATGAGTTTTATTGAAGTAGAGCCTAGGTTTTCTCATTGTGAAACAGCACTTGACTAGGTGTTCCTCGGCCGCAAATCCCACTGTGATACTACAGGGCACAGAAGGAAACGACTCTTCCCACCTTGAGAGAGAGAAAGGAGGGTAATATTTTGAAGACCCTTGTTCATACAAAAGAAGCCCCATTCTGTTTTCTTTGTCCCCAGTATTAACAAGATAAGACCCGTTTGAGTGAGGAAACTTACGGCATCAAATGTACAGGATTCCATGTCCTCAGCTGCTGCCGTAATATCTTTGTGAATAAAATCCACATTGTCTGGCCACTCTGCAGCATGACTTACTTTCCATGAATCGCGCCATTGTTTGTAATTCTTCTTAGCCAGGTAATGATGGTCTTTTCTTATTTCAAAACTTAGGACTCGCCCTTTGGATCCAACTTAATAAAACAATTTTAAAAATTAAAGTATTTCATAGTATTATTCAGAGTGTCAAAAAATCATTTTGCAAGGGTATCCTATGTCCATGAAAACCTATTCAAGAGTTCAGGGTGACAAGTCTCCATCCGCTCTCGGAGCCCCTACTTCTCGCTTCAGAGATGGTCTCACTGCCAGTTACTTCCTGTGATGGGAGGGGTCCATCCCAGTGAGTGCTGGACTGCGGGCTGAGAGGTGGGCAATCCACACCCACCCAGCTCCGCAGCAGAAAGACAGGGCTGTTTCAGGTTTTCCAACATTACTGGAAACAGCAACTTGGATGGAGTATCTATGACTCATTTCCCAATCTGGCAAACTCAAATATGAATTCATTCTCTCATTCCACATAAATTAATGAATAACTCTGCTAAACACTGGGGAGATCAAAAGATGATCCCTGCCCTCCGGAAGATCACAGTAAGGAGTCTAATAATTAGGCATCCAGTTCAACAAATGAGTACATGGCAGTGTGAGAAATATGACCGCATCTCATAAGCATGGGCCACACGAATGCATACAGGAGACGAACACAGGCAGAAGCAGCCCCTTGGAAATGGCATGAATTAAGGCTGAGCAGTTAGCTGGGAAGTGGGGGTTAAGGAAGGGCAGTTCAGACCTGGCATACAACAGCATAGGAACAAGACAGAGCCTGGGTGACTTACGGGACTAGCAGTCCCTCAGTGTCAGTGACAAATAAAATGAGATGAAGAATATGGAAGGAAGAGGCTGGGATCACACCACAAGCCTGTGTACCCAGCTGAAATGGGTGGGGAGCCTCCCACAGAGCTTTAATAAGAAACTAGCAAGAAAACTAGCACTGGAGAAAGCCATTCTATGGCATGCAACCCGGAAGAGCTACTTTCTCGGACTTGCTTATTGGGGCATACAAGAACATGTTGCTGTGGGGTGAATATCTAGGAGTGAAATTGCTGCGTGTTTGCTCAGCTTTAGGAGATGTAGCTCATGAGTTTATCCCAAGCTCACTTACCTGCTTTGGATAAAAATAAACTCATTCCACCAGAGCCCGAACCAACTTCCAAAACAGTATCACCTGGGTGGACATTCATCATCAATAGCATCATGTTCATATCCTATTATTGAAACACAGTAGGGTGACTCAGTAACCGATCAATACGCCTATGTGCCAAACACTCTGTTCCTAATACAACATTGGGGATGGAAAGGAAGGGAGCTAAAAAAAAAATGGCTTAGACTTTTGAAGCCTACAGAGTTTGTAATTTGGTTGGTAAACTTAGATAGGTTCAAGAATCTATTAACAAATAAGGCAGTATTTCAATATAATCCTGGAATTATACACAAAAAGTCCAAGAGTATGAAGAAACCAGCAGACTAACCCAGTTTAAGGGCACAAGGGATTAAAAAAAAAACAAACTACAAGATAGAAACAGCTTTAAAGTAAAATAAATAAATTCCAACTCAATATGGCCTTTTACAAGGTTTCTGAAGAGGGGCCAACAGCCTTATTTATTTCCCAAGGCGCTGCTGGAGGTTGGAACTGCTGGCCTGACAGCAGCCCCACAATGGCAGCAGGGCTCCTTTAAATGAAACCGAGGCAGAACACAGTTGGCCTATCTTCACCAGGGAGACAGGAGAGACTTGAATGCCCACCTTAGGCATCTGAATTAGACCTGGTAAGCATCTGGGGCATGTCACTTCGGTGACAGAACTGGCACCTTAGGAAGATAAATTTGAAGGTGAAAAGAGGATGCACTCGGGTAGAAGAAAACCAGGTAGAGGCAGGAAGACGAATTAGAAAGTGGTTCCTTCATCTCTGCACAAAATGATGAAACTCTATACTAGTGGTCGACAGGTGCATCCATGTGCCAAACTCTACATCTGAAGAATTACCTTGCTAACTCGATAGGAAGCAGCATGGAAGATAATACATAAGCTGTTTACTGAAACGTTTCTACATGTCCCACGCTTCCACAACTCTGCAAACTACATCCATATAATATCTTGTTTAAAAGAGAATACTATGAGACAAGTTTCATCATTCCCATTTTAAAGATGAGCCGACCAGAAAGGCGCAGTAATTTGCCCAAGTCAGGAATTAGGTGTGAAGAAGCAGTAAACGGGAAGAATTATACTGGAAGAAGCATTGATTCTTAGAATTAAAATGAGGCCAGGGTAGTCTTAGGAGAGTAAGACCATGTCAGTCATACCAAAGGTAAGTCCGAACTTACTTTGGGTAAATCTTTAAAATTGTCATCTGAGTTTCTTCCTAAAATTAGGAACACGGTCCTCTTCATGACAATGTGGGCAAGAGCCATATTCATTGGCAACAGATAAAGAAATAAAAATAACAGGCTGAGAAGAATGCAAACGTTCTGAGGTGTGCTTTTTATAAGTTACTCCTTGCTCGGCATTGGAGGATTAAGCAAGTTTTCACCAGGGCTGCAGCCCTTCTTACTCTAGTTCCTTCTGGCACCAATACACACCCAAACCCGGTCGCATTACCTTTGGATATGAAATGGTAGGCCCTCTTTTCATCAGTAACACATAGTCTTCCAATGCCGGTCTCCTTAGCATGAACTGCTTACCGGAGGAACTCACGAGCAACTGACCCGGGAACTTCCCCACGATCTCGCTGAACGGGACTAACCCCCAGTTACTATTTAAATGTCCGCTGTTACTCAACCTAAACAATTTCTTATAATGCCTTTCTCTCTTGCCAGTCTCCGCTAAAATCAGCTCCCCAGCCTGAAAGGGGGCCTCCCTGGAAGTGGAACAGGAAAAAGAGTCGGCAAGCTTGGGGATCTCAGTAGCGGGCTGGGAGTGACCCTCGGGTGCTTGGGATGCGGGATCCGAGTGGCGCCGGTCGCCGTTCGAGTCCTCGCGATCACCAAGGGGTGACACCCCCCGCGGCGCCAGTGGCCTGAGGCTCTCCAAAGAGGAAAGACATCTAATCCCAATGGCGGGGCGCGAAGCAAGCACCGGAGGCGACCCTGAGCGCAGAGATTTCCTTCGCACGGCCTGGTGTCGTCCGGCTCCATCCCGCACGTCTCTAGGCGAGGACCGGATGGAAAGTGACTGCGTTCCCCCAAAAGGTTCTCGCCCAAGGCTACGTAGAAGCCCAAAGCCCAGTGGCTTCCGAAGGGGCTGCAGCTGAAGCAACACTGAACACCGGCGCCCAGCGGGCAGCATGGTACTCCGCGCCGGCGCCGGCGCAGGCTGGTGACGTAGGACCGGAGGCGGCCCTTCCTACTGCCGACGCCGCCCGGCGTCGTGACGCAGCCCTCTGACGCGGAGCCCGGCGACGGCGCATGCTTGCTGAGCTGGGCGGAGCGAGGCCCCAGCTGGGACCTGGGAGTGCGACAACCGTAAAGTTACTCTCCAGGAAGCCACACCCCACTCCTGGCGGAGAAGGGCACCACACCATTTGCAGTCTGGTCACCTCGTCTGCCTGTAGGAGGATTGCGACAAAACACTCCTGAGCGCTGTGCAAACTGTTACGGACTGTTGTCGTTAGGTTCCGACTCACAGCGACTCTGGGGTCCAGGTGTACAACGGAGCTTAATCTGACAACCTGCCACTCCTACCTCTAAGCCTTAGGGCCTACGGGTTTCTTTCTTGAATGTAGGAAGGATATTGTTTTGTAAATCATACACTGTGCAGGGAACTTTCTTGTTTCAGTCCCATTTTTCTACCAACTTTTGAAACCCCTTCCGATCCCTAGATAACACGGAAAACACCCCACCCCTACCGAATGTTCTTTATTAACGGATGTGGATGTAGCACATAAAAATGCATATGTAGAAATACCTTCTGCAGGACCTTTATTCGTGGGTGTAGAGTCCAGTGTTTCCCAAAATGTGCCACATCGCACCCTGGGGGCGCTGGAATGATGAGGATGGGCCTGCAAAAACAAGCCAACATTTCCTCCTGGATCCTGGGCTGTATTTTTTCATTGGCTTTCATTGTCAAGGGGACACTGAGTAATTTTTTATCAGAAGAGGGGGCAGTGAGCCTAACAAGTTTGGAAACCTCTTGTAGACTGGTTCACCTTTCCTGTTACTATTGGAGAATCAGTGAAGTGTTCTATTATTATTATCATTGTTATTATTGGAAATAGATTGCTAAATCCTGTTTCCTAGTCTGTCTTAGTCCAGAAGCTCTGCTGAAACCTGTCCACCATGGTTGACTTTGCTGGTATTTGGAATTCTCTTGGCATAGCTTCCAGCATCACAACACACAAGAGCCAAGGACAACAAACAGACAAGTACACTGACTGGAGTTCGGAACATGATCACCACCTGGTCACCCCAGGAGATGTGTAGGTAAAAGTACCCCAGAGGTGTTGAACAGACTGCGACTGGGAGCACCACCCACAGACCTGGCCTCCTTTCCCAGCTAGCCCCGCCATTCTAGCCCTGCTGGTGCCTCTCGCACCTTACAAGTCCCTTTTGACTTGCTGTAACCACCTGTCTGATTCCTCTGCCCCCACCGCAGTGGCTCTTGCCTTGTGAACTAAAGCTCAGATCATTTGTTAAAGTGGAGTAAAGTGACAGCATTCACTTGGATGAACTTCTTTTAGTCAATAAAGTAACTTACTCTCTCCCCCACCCCCAAAGCTAAATAGAAGCATCGTGCAACTGGGAAAGATACCCAGCCATACAATTGAGCCACAAATTTCATTTCATATCAGATATCACTAAACTGCTTCCTTAATACTAATTCACTCAAGAGCCTGGCACCTTTTTTTCTTTTTTACTTTTTACTGTGAATTAGATGCAGCTTTATAGACTAGATCACCCATTTTCCATTCTGAGATTCCTACACATTGTGTTTCAGCTCACTCACTACAGCCTCACTTATTCCACCTCATCCCCCTGGTTCCTGTTTCCACTCCTCATTCCTTCCTGACCCTTCTGGATGTGGTCCTTGGGTCAGTGCTTCCTTTGGGATCTCAAATGATTGCTCATTCTCAGGTGTGTGTACCTCCCCAATGTTACAGAACTATGGATTGAAAGCAAGGGTGACTAAAGGTCATGCACAGTCTTAGGGGTTCTACCTGTCTCTATCCGACCAATAAGTCTGGTCTTTTTCATGATTTTGAGTTTTCTACAGTTTTCTCCCACCCCATTCGGGACCTTCTAATGAATACCGTGTGCTTTATTTTATTTAAATGTTACAGCAACCCTGAGTGAGAAGTTAGTATTTCTATTTTGTATCCTAAAAAAGACACTGGCACTGGGTAATTAAGTGACTTAAACAAGATCCTACAGTAGACAAGGGCTTGGAGCTGGGTTGTTAACAGCAACATAAGTAGCTTGAGCCGCTGAAGACTGGAGGGACTAGTGAAACAGCAGAGCGGGCCACGCTGGCTTTGAGGCGCCAGCAGGACAACCAGGAGGTGATGCATAGTAGATACTTGAAAATATGGGTTTTACATACAAATTTTAGTTTACAAGATACAAGGGACTCTCCTCTAGTTTTCCATTGTCTTTTTCAAAAGTGAACACCGGTTTAACTACTTTTACTTCTAAATAGGCCTTTAAGCAGAACTGGGAATGCCACCACTATTTATAGCAGAATTCCAGATACCCAATTGACAACTGTGTTTTAGAAATTCAGCTCAAATATTAAAATGGAATTGCCCAATTTAGCTACTATGCACCTGTGAGAGAAATTGCTTGTTGTCTTGCAAAACCATTTCCTTCTTCTCCAATAGGAATAAAATTCCAGCAATAGACTGTCCAGCTACAATCAAGACCAAAATTTTCAGCCTTTCGACTGGATATGGCCATTGTAAGTCCTGGTCCATGAAATGTAAGCAGAAGTGATATGTGTGTTCTTTTTAAAGGACGTTAAGAAGGAAGACAATGTTTTGAAACAGACTGGGAACAATTGTACAATTCTGCTCGATGTGATATAGCTATGAAATCGTCTGGATTAGCTCCTAATAAAATGGTTTGGTTGAAAAAAAAAAACAATAAAAGTAGGTTGGAGACACTGTGGCCCTTTGTTAGTCTGGGTACTTCAGAGAAATAAATCCACAGAAACTCATATGTATAAGAGAGTTTTATATAAAGGGTAAGTGCACATCAAGAAAACATCCCAACCAAGTGCTGCCCAAGCCCACAAGTCCAAAATTAGCCCAAATGTCCAACACCAATCCACAAAGTCCTCCTCCACCTCACAAAACACACACTATGATGACGACTGTAGGAGGAAAAGCCAAACAGTGAACGTGTAAGCATCTCAGTGCTGGCAGGTGTCTCCACACAGCTGCTCCAGCACCCAGGGCTGCATCAGGGTAGGTCCATGCGGCTTCTCCTCAGGGACGTCTTGCAGGAAGTGAGCCTTGCCAGCTGAAGCAGGGAACTGGCAAAGCAACTGCACCCTGGTCCGACCATCACAAAGCAAGAGACCAGAAAACTAGAAAGGCAAGGCTCACCAAGCCATTTATGTCTCCACCCTTCAATTAACCCCACGTGTTTATTGGCCAGGTTGGCACAAATAAACATTAACTATCTCAAGTCCTAAAGTCCTAGGACTTTAGTCTTAAGTGAGCATGTCATAAAAACAAGAGCATTCTCCTCCCTTAGCATAATACAGTTAGCACATTTAGGGAACTTAACATTGCTATAATGCCATTATCTAATCTACAGACTTGAGTCAAAGTTTGTCACTTGGCCTAATAATGTCATTCATAACCATTATGGTTCTTCCAGTTCAGGATGCAATCCAAGAGTACACATTCATTTGGCTGTCATATCTCTATTTTCTTTAATTTGGAACAAACAGTTGCTCAGTCTTGCATTTTTTCCTGACCTTGACTTTTGCAAAGAATACAGGCCAGTTATTTATAGACAGCCCATCACTTGGGATGTGTCTGATGTTCCCTCCTGATGAGATTTGGAGCAGGGATTTTTGTGAAGAAATGCCACAAAAATGAGGGTTTCATTCTGACTGCATGATACAGGATTCCCATGATGCCATTTTGCCTCGATACATGATGCTAACTTTGATCACCTGGTGTCTCCACTATAAAGCTACCATTTCCACCTTTGTAGTTAATAAATAATTGATGAAATGATACATTGAATTTAATTTGGGTCTCTGTTGGTGGTTTGCTAGCCCCTTTTTCTGTTTTCAGGATGCTCTACCTCTATTCCTAAGAAAGCTCTTCTTCTTTTTCAAAATCTTCAGTTCGGTACAATTTACCTACCATAAAGCCCATCTATTCTTTCTAAGTGAGTAATTCAATGATTCTTCGTAAACTTGTGGCATTGTATGGCCATCGGCACAATCCACCTGTAGAACACTGTGGTCACCACAAATGGTTTCTTCATGCCCACTTGCAGCTTGTCTCTGCTCCTGACCCAACTAACCCAGACCACACCTGCTGTTTCCGGTCTCTGTGCCTTTTCTGAACATTGCATATCAATAGGATAACACATGATGTAGCCTTGTGCCTCTGCCTTCTTCTGTTTAGTATGTTTTCA